ATTACGCGACCGAGGAGCATGGCGCAGGTGGGCTGACCGCGCTGGTGTGCCTCGGGCATTACGCGACCGAGGAGCATGACGTAGGCGGGCTGACCGCGCTGGTGTGCCTTGGGCATTACACGGCCGAGGAACATGACGCAGGCGGGCTGATCGCGCTGGTGTGCCTCGGGCATTACGCGACCGAGGAGCATGTCGCAGGCGGGCTGTCCGCGCTGGTGTGCCTCGGGCATTACGCGACCGAGGAGCATGTCGCAGGTGGGTTGACCGCGCTGGTGTGCCTCAGGCATTACGCGACCGAGGAACATGACGCAGGCGGGCTGACCACGCTGGTGTGCCTCGGGCATTACGCGACCGAGGGACCTTGGGCGATATGTAGCCGAGGGATGGTCTTAAGCGACAAGTGGTCGAGGAGGTACTTGATTCCGGCCAGCGATTGATTGCTCATGCGCGTGCGGGTGGCCGGGCTCGCTTTTCCCTGGGGGAGGATCGAGGGGCCGCCCTCTCCGGGGGCTGTCGTGTTTCGAGGCCGGTGTGATTAGCATTTTTAAGGCGGACATGGTTGGCGCTTTTAAGGTTTGATTAATGCTTCCGAGGCTGATATGATTAGCACCTCCGTATCTTGCACCGCGCTGCAAACGGCTGCCACGTCAGGCTGCATTTATGGCGAGGTGACGCTCTCGGTCTTCGCAGCGCACTTTGGGAGGGGAAGGGTTGCCGTTTTGGCGGGATGCGGCCAGTTTATAAGTAGTGTGAAGCTAGCCATCGGGGGTCTCTCCATCTGTCTTCGTCGCGCTGCTTCGTACCTCGTTGTTTTGCTTGTACCCGTTGTTCCTTCTTTTCTTGCTAAAGGTCGGTAAGAATGGTGTCTTCCCCTTCCCATTCGTCCTCTTCTTTGTCGAAAGCCGGGGAGACGACGACTTCGTCGAATCCCCCCTCGTCATCCGACGGGGAGGCTGCCCCGGCCCTGGAGGCCCTGATGTGGCCGCACGACCATGACTCCACCGTGGGCGAGTCGTCGCTGAGCCTCCTCCGGGATCGCTATGGCATCCCGGAGGAGTTTGTCCTTCTTGCTCCGGAGCATGGTCAACGGGCGTATGACCCGATTCTTAGGGGTTTTGCCCTCACCCTTGACGCTTTTGAGGCCGGGCTGCCCTCCCCTTGCACGTCGTCAGTCTCCTGTCTTTCCTGGTGGCGCATCTCCCCGTCCCAGATGGCGCCGAACTCATGGCGATATCTGGTGGCGTTTCTAGGGGAGTGTCATTATGCCAATATAACCCCGACCTGTGCCCTCTTCCTCTCCTACTTCCGTCTTTGTAAGGGGTCGGGGGGTTACCATTTGTCCGCCCGAGCGGGCTTCCGAGTGGGTGGAGCCCATTCCAGTAATAAGGGGTGGAAGGAGCGCTTCTTTTTTGTCTGCCGCTCGGGGGATTGGGGATTTGGGGTCCGCTGGGGGGCGCGTACGATAGACAACTCCGCCCCGGTTTTGGACGAGGAGGGGCGCCGAGAGCTCCAGAGGCTTAGAGATATCCTCCCGGCTTCCAGCGCCATCCGGAATATGTCCGAGCGGTTGTTGGTGGAGGTGGGCCTTAGCCCGGTGCCTCTAGGTACGCTCCAAGGGGCGGTTTCTTTAGGGGTTTTTCTTTTTTCTCTTTTCCTTCGTGGACTATCCACTTAGCTGACCGTCGATTTCTTCGTAGAGATGGTGCTTCTTGAAGCCTTGCGTGGAAGAAGAACTTTTTCGGCCGCGTCGGGTCGTTCGCCTTCCGTCGCCAGGGTAGGTACGAGGGAGGCCCCCATGGATGTCGAGGCTGGTCGGCCTCGGAAGAGGGCGCGGGTGCCTCCCGGTGATGGTTCTGAGGCGGTCGTAACTCCGACGACGGAAGGCGCCATTGCATCGACAGTGGAAGCCGCCGTAGCCCCTGCGTTAGCATCACGGGGAGCCCCGGGGAGGGAGAGACCGGTACGAGCGGGAACGTGGTGGTGGAGGCGCCTCGTCAACATTCGATTCGCAAGCTCCTTCGCCTTCCGCTCGGGAGGGAGGACGAGCCCTACTTGGCACGGGAGGTGGGCGCTCTCCCGCGCGGCGCGGCCACTGATCTGCTAACGGGCCGGTGTGACGGTCTTACCCGGGGCAGCCGGGTGTGGGCCGACGGGGATTGTGCGGCGAGGTTTGTACGAGGAGGACTTCACCCCGACATAGCTCGGGATCTGTATACCTTGTCCTCTGAGGTCTTGCTTAGCAAATCAGCTAAGTCACTGTTGTGGGTAAGTTTTGTTCCGCCCTCCAGTCTGCATACTTTTGGACAGGCTTTATTCTGACTTTACCCTTTCACCAGGGCAACCACTACGCTGCCGCTCTGATGGACCGCGTTCGCGATGCGGGACGAGTCATCTCCGCTCTGAGTAGCCGTAATGCCGAACTCCGGAGGCAGGCGGACGAGGCTCGAGCTGGAGCGGGTCCCGAGGCAGTTGCGGTGGTCGAGCAGCGCGCCTCGGATTTGGAGGCGGAGGTGACGCGTCTTCGATCCGAGCTTCAGTCGTCCGTGGAGCGGCTCGCGGAGTTTCAGGCGCGTCTCGAAACGTCCGAGGAGCGTAATACGGAGCTCCAGACTCTGTTGAGGGCGTCGGTGTCCGAGGCTCGCTCGGTGAGGAAGGACTCTGTTGAGCTGATCCGACGCCTTGAAGAGTCGCGGGCCGAGGCACAAAGGGCCTCCGAGTCCCTGGATGCCGAGATCCGCCAATGGCCGGGGAAGGAGAAGAAGCTGATCGAGGACTACAAGGGTTCCTCGGGCTTCCAGCTCGGCCTTGTTCGGACCGGGCGAGTTTCGTACGAGTATGGGTATTGGGTTGCCCTTGCTCGTTTCAAGGCGCGCCATCCTGACTCGGAGGTCGTAGAGGATCCCTTCGGTTCGTTCCCCGAGGATCTGGGCGTCGACATGCCAGCCGAGGTTCCTTTTGACGATAACCCAGATGCCCCCGAGGAATGAAGATCTCTGTTCCTTTTGCTTTGTCTTGTAATGCGCCTTTTTGAATAAAACATGGTCCCGC